AAATTATGTAATTAGATTTAACTCAAAATAATTATACTTTCCTAAAGGTACGAATTGCACCAAGTCAGAATTATGTTTGATACGACGCATTTTATAAAAATGTAATTATTTTGAGTTATTTTTATTTAAGTAACTTTTTTCTAATATATATGATAATATTCATGAAAATAATTTAAAATATTCATTACTAATTCTCCATGCATCCAATTTGAAATATTGCCACTCATTAATATCCAAATATCTAACAAAACAAGTTTTTTTGAAATAACAAATTATAATTTAATGACCATAGCTACTAGATTCAAGTTGTATTTGGATTACTTGCTGGTTAATAGTGAGTTTATATCCAAGTATTAACACAAATTGTTACACAGGTTGTTGACTTATTTTTCCTACGAAGGAAAATATCATAAATGCGAGCGTGCCAGCAAGGATTGAAAAATCTTTATAGATTAATTCAAGCCAATTATCAAGCGATTGTGTTGAGGGTTCTTTTGCCTCAACGAAGAGGACTTCAAATTTGCCAAGTGTATCGAAAAGAAAAAGTAAAAGAAGAAAAAGGGACGAAGAAAGATGATTGAGTGAACAATCAAAGTAATAAATACTTATCTCTACTCCTATGCTTCGAAAAGAAAGTGCATAAAATGCTTCAAAATGGAAATGCTGAAAATAAATGCTTCGAAATATAAATCTATGTTAAACTACTCCTAAAATAAGGAAAATGACAAGAAATATTGAAATCAATTGTCTTTGATTTTTGTTCTGGATCCTTTATAATATAGCCATTAATGGCTATTTATAGAAGAAAAAAAACAGCAATAACTACTTAGTAACTTCCCATTTCTTCTATCTTCATTCTTGTCTTGCCATGTGTCCTTCCACTCATCCACTTTGTCCTCCCACTCATCCACTTTGTCCGTCATATTCTCCATTATCTCTATAACTTCTTTTAACTTCCAAATGAATAAGAGGATGCCACGTGTCCTGCAATTATATAAATAATAAATAATAATAAAAATTACAGATTTATGATGCTAACATTACCCCCCGCGGCCCTTAAAAATGATGTTTACTTGAATTTTTGAAGGGCCGAACCAAGCACATAACTAATCTAAGTAATAAAATGCTTCGAATAATATCAACAAAGTGCTTCGAATGATATAATAGCACCAATGAAGTGTTTCGAATGAGTATGACATTATGACTAGATGTCTCGAATGCTAGCTATTATGGACTAGTAACAAGCTTTGAAGGTGGTACAAAGGACCAAAATCATCTTTCGAAGGTTGAAAGTATTGACAAAGGACAAATTACATCCTTAGAAAAAATCGGCAAAGTTTCGAAGGTTCACAACCATCATTATTGTTTCTTCGAAGCTGTTAATACAAGATGGAGTGCTTCAGAGCTTACAAAATTATGGCAAAAGAGCCTTCGAAGCAGCTTTTGGCCAACATTGTAGTTATTCACATTTTGTATGTTCTGGTTCATACATAATTAATGAAAATATTAATTTTGTGCTTCGAACCAGTTAACTGTTGTTCTTCGAACCAACTTATCATGCCAAAAACAGGCATTATTCGACAACTAATTAATTGTCATTTTACATATATTTGAAGAGATGTACACATTTCGAAAGTTTTCAAAGCTTTATACAGTTTCGAAGGTGAAGTAATCAACCTTCGAAACAACTCTTGATGTTTCGAATGTATCTTCAAAACTTTATACAGTTTCGAAGGTGAAGCAATCAACCTTCGAAACAACTCTTGATGCTTTGAATGTATCTTCGATGCTTTGATTGTATACATACAAACAACTGGCCATCAATTTGAAAAGATAAGTCATTCTCAACCATTTATTTAAATGCACAAGCTTTTTCTGGCCAAATTCATGCATTTTAAATGGTCATCCCTTGTTCTTAGTGTTTCGAACTCATAAGAACAATTTGTTAATTTTATTAGCCACATCATCAAAATTATATTTTGATGTGAACCACAAATCAAAAAATGATTTTGAACACCAAAAGTCATGGTATGGTGTGACCATGAAAATTCATACTTTTGGACATTTTGAAAAATGTCAAAAATTTTGAATTCATGAACAGTGGCTTGTTCATTATTCTTAACCATGTTTGTTTTAAAAACATGACTTTTGCCGAATAGGTTTTCATAATTATTTGGCAAAGTGGGTTGTTTTTCCATGTTAGCCATTAATGACTTATGAAAATCACCCATAGATATGTTATTTTCATGACTTGACTCTCTAAAATTTGGTTTTTAGACCCCCCGAGTCATACATGGAACATCATTCTTAGCCAAATTTGGCTCAAGAACATGCTTTTTCGTTGTGTTAATTTCATAATTTGGTTCTTTTAAAACGGACTCTTGAACCCCCCGAGCCATTGATGAAATCAACTCTTTGCTTTTGCTATTTTTAACCATGAAAAAATTCACCAATTCCGGTCATTAAAGCCTCAGTTAAAGACTTGGTAGTGAGAGTTGATAACTCATCATTCCATTGGCGAATTTCCATATCAAGTTGATGAATTTCTCCAATTAAATGGTGTCTTTTTTCTTCCACCAAATAATATTGTAAGGGATGAAAATTTATTTCATCAAGAAAATGGATCTCTTCTTGAAGGAGGAGGAGGAGATGTGATGGAATCGGGGGATCAACGCTCTGAAGAAACTTCGACAGTGGTCGGAGATCGTCGCCTCGAAGCCGTGAGAGATACCACTCTCAGAAGCAATCAATTCCCAAGGTCTAGGCGGAAGCCATAGAACTTCCAGCTTCAAAAGATTCAACTGCAGAAGAAAGTGGTCCCGCATTGTCAGTTACAGAGGACCTGTGATTCAGTAACACAGGTTGTTCAATGAAACTATGTGCCCTAAATGAACGTGTTTCCTGAGAAGGCTTGGGTGCTGGTGGAAATTTTTTCATTTGCTGATAACCAATCAATCCGCAATGGAAATTCCTACCAAGATTCAGCAGATAAATGCCTTAGGAATAAAATGCAAATAGAAATAAAAACAAAACTCATACCCAGGACATAGAAGAACTAAGAGTATTAACAATCAGAAATACATCACAAGGAAACCAGTCCAACTCAACACTCCATACTTATTTTCAAAATCATAGAGTTTTGATGCTTTGAACAATATAAAGTGATGAATGATGATTAAAGTTTTACCACAATATTACTCGGTACTCTAATGTTGATAAAATATAAATATAAATTAGTTGAATTTATTGTTGCTGATAAAAACAAGAATCTTTGAAATGCCTGTGATATTATCTAGCCATTAGAAACTAACCCAGCCAGCAAGCAACTCACATACATTTGTGTTAATGTCATGAAATGATTGTTCAATTTGAAGTTTGAACAAAAACATCTCTGTTTGACTTTTCATGAAATTAAATAATCTAAATTCACTTCCCATAATTTTCACTGGGATAAGGCATAAAACCTTGCAAATGGAAGCTTACCAATATTTCAATGTCATCTCCTTTAATCGGGCTTCAAGCTTTTGAAAAAGGGAGTCTTCTCAAAATCTTGCTTATTGTGAGTAGGCTCAACAAAATTTGTTTCAAGAACACCTACAAAATACTATAACATCACTCATCAACTATCCACTAAAACTGGTGTTCTTGGGAGATAAAGTAGTATTCTGATCCCAAATTCAAACACATTAAAAGCTAGAGAGAGAGTTGCAAAGGAGAAGCACAAAGGACGAAGAGGTACTGATCTGGAGGTCAGAGAGAGAGATGAAGAAAATGAGAGGCAGTTTGTTTGGTACACTCAGTGAAATTTCAATAAAACAAACTCAGAGAAATTTGTTTAATTTTCTCTGCCTTTAAGTGAGTAAAATTGATGAAGTCATATATATGCATTGATACTGTTTGTTTGTTTGGTACACTTATTGAAATTTACTGAGACAACTCAGTGAAATTTCAATAAAACAAACTCAGAGAAATTTGTTTAATTTTCTCTGCCTTTAACTGAGTAAAATTGGTGAAGTCAATTTTCTCTGGGTTTGGAAAGTCCAGAATTTATCAATTTTCTCTAGTTTGAAAATTGGTCAAACTGAACTCAGAGAAATTTGAATTTTCTCTGGGTTGAACCCAGAGAAATTCTTTGGAAGTCCAGAATTTCTCTGGACAAAATTTTTCTAGATCAATTTTCTCTGGATCAACTTGAGGGACCTTAGACATTATGAAAATATTAGATGTCTTTTATGTTATAAAATCTTAATACGAGGGACCTTAAAAAAAAAATTCCCTAATTTAAAATAAGAGAAATTAAAATAAAATTTGAGTTAAATGAGAAACATCAAAAGTTTAGTTTATCCACCTTTTTGTCTTCTTTATTTTATTTTATTTTTTTTATTTTTTTTGTAAACTTTTGAAACTAACAAATCGAAAATAAAATAAAAAAGGACATATTACGAATGCACCATTTTGGGTTTGTTTAAAATACAAATTATTTCATGTTGTTCTAAAAATTTTTGTTAATTTTTTATTTTATTGGGTTTGTTTAAAATACAAATTATTTCATGTTGTTCTAAAAATTTTTGTTAATTTTTTATTTTACAAAATTAATAAAAATAAAATAAAATTTATAACTACTCTCCTATATTATAATAAAATTATTTGAATTGTTAATTGAAATATATTTATCACATTATTTAAAACAGTTAATTACCTTGATAATTTATTAATAAAACATGTCATTTATTTTGCGATTAAAAATTTTAAGAAGTAAAATGTAACTTTTAGATAAATAATCCATATTTTAAACAAATCTCAAAAAATATATTTATAATTTATCTTAAAAAAAATTAACTTGCTAAAAAAACACCAAATGATTTTCCGTATATTTCACTCACTGCGAATGATTCACAACCCCATGTCCTGTGCATGGGCAGTAGGAATGGCAACGGGCCAGGTCGGGGATTACACTCCCCATCTCCAATCCCTGAAGGCAAAAAAATCTCTGTGAACCACCCAAAGGGTCTCTAAAAATAAGCACTTTGATCACCATGATCAAATCCATCAAAACCTCCAGAGTCCTCCTCTGTCTCTCCATCGTTTGCTTGCTAAGCATCAAAACCAAATCAACCCCAAATTTCCTTTCAATCGATTGCCCAAACACAACCTCTTACACTCCCAACAGCATATACAAAACCAACCTCAACACCCTCTTCTCTTCCCTCTCCTCCAATTCCACCTCCATCAACGGCTTCTCCAACTCCACCGCCGGCCGCAACCCCCCCGACGTAGCCTACGGCCTCTTCCTCTGCCGCGGCGATGTCACCACCGCCGTCTGTCAAGACTGCGTAACCTCTGCTACTAAAGAAGTAGTCCAACGTTGTCCCAAGTCGAAGAATGTCATAATTTGGTACGACGAGTGCATGTTACGATACTCGAACGAGTCCATCTTCTCCAAATCCGATGAATCTACAGGATTAATTTTGAGGAATACACAGAACTTTACGGACCAAACCCGTTTCAAAGAAATCTTGGGAGGTGTAATGGATGACATAGCAACTCGAGCTTCGAATGGTGGGTCGGGTAAGAAATTTGCGACTAGAGAAGCTAATTTCTCGTCGCTTCAAAAGCTGTACGGGTTAGCGCAGTGCACGCCGGACTTGACTTTATTGGATTGCAACAAATGTCTTCGAGATGGTATCTCGAATTTTCCGAGTTGCTGTGATGGAAATCTGGGAGCGAGGGTTCTGTTTCCGAGTTGTAATGTTAGGTATGAGTCCTACCCTTTTTACAACGTCACCGCCACTGCTCCGCCGCCTCCACCACCGGCCCTTCCTCCACCAGTCCTTCCTTCTTCTCCGGGACCTTCGGCTAGTCGAGGTAAACTCAAAAGATGTCTGTCAATTATTAAACAAAATCCAAAACAAGCTTTGTTTATCGATTGTCATGGATCGACTAGATCACTTCTTTTTTGTCATTGTGCTAGATTCAGATCGCAAAAATGAAAAATACTTGTTAATGTTTAAATTGTGTCAACAATAAATAAAGTTTCAAGGATCAAATTTTTGTCCCCAACCGAGAAAATTTTGATCTAAAAAATATTGGGGACTAATTTCTGCAATTGTTACAATAGTTGTTAGAAGGTCATTCCCCAAAGTAAAGAGAAAAAAAAGACTTTTAGTGATAAAATTTTGATAATGTCGCTAATAAATGCCGACAAAATAATTTTGTGCTAAAAAAGTTTATTCCCAAAAATATAGTAATTTATTATTAAATAGTTGTTAAAACTTTTTTGAGATAAATTTTAGTCCAAAAAAGATAGTAATTTATTATTAAATATTCAATTTCATTGCTAAAAATATAACAATAATATTTTTGCCAACAAAAATAATTTATTCATAAAAAGTGATTTTATGTCTAATTTTTGTCTCTAAAAACTTAATTTATTATAATAAGCATCGATTCTTAGCATTTGATTGCAAATTATAGACTGTTTCTTGTAGACGTGAGCATGGTCCACTTTGGATTTGTAAAGTTTATCCTCGAATTGATTCATTTCTCCTATGTTTATATTCTCAATGGAACAATTTTTTATTGATGTAGGAAAGGGAGGAATCTCATCGCAAGTACTCATTGCCATCATTGTTCCAGTTGGAGCCTCTGTTTTGCTTTTCATCATAGTCTTTTGTTTCCTACGCAGGAAAGCAAAGACGAAACATGATGATACTAAAGAAGATAGTGGTAATAAAAAAATAAAAAATAAAAATTATACACAATTCATGACTGAAATGTTGACAGTGTCATCTATCTATCTATCTATCTATATTCTATATCTATACTATTATAAAGTGAACAGGAATTTTGGTATCCTGAAACTTTACTCTCCTCCTCATGCCATGTGGCAGTATTTTTTATTTTTTAAAAAAAAGTTAAACAAAGAGATGGGCAAGGCTTGAACCCATGACCATGGGTTTAAGTACGAGGACTCATACCACTTAAGCTAAGTACACATTATAATACTAATTTCATTATTATTTTTTTTTTATTCCTACTTATTTAAATTGCACACACATCGTGTGTGCCACCCACTAGTTATTATAAAGTGAACACATGACTCTTATGGTGTCCTGAAGCTTTACTCTCCTCATGCCATGTGGCAGTATTTTTTTAAAAAAAGTTAAACAAAGAGATGGGCAAGGCTTGAACCCATGACCATGGGTTTAAGTACGAGGACTCATACCACTTAAGCTAAGTACACATTATAATATTAATTTCATTATTATTTTTTTTTATTCCTACTTATTTAAATTGCACACACATCGTGTGTGCCACCCACTAGTTATTTAAAAATTAAAACGCTTTCACAAGCTTTTGCTTTAAAATGATCAGGAATGACACAATCAACACTTGGTACTATTCAAGCAGCCACAAACAACACTTGGTACTATATAGCATTAATCATCAATAAACTTATTACATTTATCTTTCGATTTGTCCAGCTGTGAATGAAATCACAACAGTTGAGTCCTTGCAATATGATTTTGGTACTATTCAAGCAGCCACAAACAACTTCTCTGATGATAACAAAATTGGTGAAGGTGGATTTGGTCATGTCTACAAGGTAAGATGTTGCATTTAATTATACTATATTTGATTTATTCAAATATATATATATATATAATATTTAATTCTAAAATTTCAATGAATGCCGTACATTCACAGGGTAAACTTATTAATGGAGAAGAGATAGCTGTCAAGAGGCTATCTCAAAACTCAGGGCAGGGTGGAGAAGAATTCAAGAATGAAGTTTTGCTGGTAGCCAAGCTTCAACATAGAAATCTAGTGAGACTACTAGGATTTTGCTTGGAAGGAGAAGAGAAGATGCTCATTTATGAATTTATGCCCAACAAAAGCCTTGACCGCATTCTATTTGGTTTGAAAAATCTAAACTCTAGTTCTTAATAACGCTTTACATTTGGTTTCATAAAAACACATGATTGTGATGAGTGTGATCTTTGATTGTATGCATCCTTGTGCTTGTGTTTCCATTCAAGTTGTATGACATTAACACATTTTGTAACCAATTGCTTATTGATAACTTGAACATTTAGTATGATCAATCTACAGATTCACAAGAGCATGGAAAATTGGATTGGCCAAAACGTTATAAGATTATTGAAGGGATAGCTCGAGGGATGCTCTATCTTCATGAAGATTCTCAACTTAGAATTATACACCGTGATCTCAAAGCTAGTAATATTCTGTTAGATGGGGCCATGAACGCAAAAATTTCAGATTTCGGCATGGCGAGGATCTTCGGTGTGGATCAATCTCAAGGAAATACAAATAGAGTCGTTGGAACATTGTAAATTTTCTCTCCCCAAGAACCTTATATTTGTTTTACCATAATTTGATTTAGGAAATCTCAAGTAAAACATCAAACTAATTATTCAAAAAACTCTTACTATGTCTAGTTTCCTACACGTTCTTCAATGGACTGCACTTTTTTAGTTGAATATTGGCACATAATGTCCTCAATTATTTTATTTCTGATTTAATCTGAAATGAGTGTTAGATGGATTTGGTTGTTGCTTTCTAGTTATATTGATAAACTAATGGAGCTGGCTTGCAGCGGTTACATGGCTCCGGAATATGCAATGCATGGACGGTTCTCCGTAAAGTCTGATGTATTTAGCTTCGGTGTCTTAGTTTTGGAGATCATAAGTGGCAAGAAAATCAATGACTTTGATCAATCAAACCACATTGAGGACCTGCTTAGCTATGTGAGTAACAACAATTCATTACAGCTATTATTTTCTTTCTTAGTGCCTTTATCATCACATCCACAAGACATTTACGATAAATTATTTCAGGCTTGGAAACTTTGGAAGAACGGAACACCATTGAAATTGATGGATCCAACTTTGGAAGCATCGTATTCAAGAAATGAAGTCTCCAGATGCATCCATATTGGCTTGTTGTGTGTTCAAGAAGACCCAGATGCTAGGCCCTCCATGGCAACAGTAGTTTTGATGCTTGACAGTTACACTATTACCCTAGCAATTCCTGAAGAACCTGCATTATTTTCTCCTCGTAAAACAGAGTCAAATATAGGACAAGGTGTAGAGGCAGATCAATGTACAAGTAAGTCAATACCATTGTCTATGAATGACGTAACAATTTCTGAATTAGACCCTAGATAATGTGAGAAGTCTATGACATATCAAGGTTGACGGATAAATTTACAGTGTGAAATTAATACAAATAAACTCAAACTATAGTGGGTTAGTTATATTTTTAGTTCCAAAATGTGAGTCTTATGCTGTGTCATTTTAATTTCTAATGTTTAAATTGTATTTCAATTTAGTTTTCAATATTTAAATTCTATCAATCTGATTTCTAAAATATAAATTTTTTTTGCAATTTAGTTCCCCAATAACTTGAATTTGCCTATATAGCCATTGAAGCACCACATAAATATATATTCTTTTGGTAACTGAATGTTGAGAAATATACAATAGAGTTAAGGGAAATTCTATAATAATAAACATATTGAAAAAGGTGTGTATCGGATCTCTTAGTGATGATATTTGTGATTTTTGGTTACAACTCATTAAGATATTAGTTTTCACTTGATTATGTGCCTGTTTGGCAGAAATTATTTACAGCTTATTTCAGCTTTCAGTTTAATTTAAGCTATTTTGATGTGTTTGGTTTAGCTTATAGCTTATAGCTTATAGTTTTGTGGAAGTCAGAAATCAGCTTATTCTTTGAGTGGGGTATGAGATGCTTTAAGAATAAGCTGGAAATCAGCTTAAGCTGAAAGTTATAAGCTATAAGCTGTTTAGGCATAAACTATAAGCACTTTCCCACAGCTCTACCAAACAGAGTGACTCATTATAATGTTAGTTATGACTTATTGTTATTATTTAGATTATGACTAAAGAGGTTTTCTTTATAGGTTAAGTGATATTTTGGTTATGACTATTGAATGATAATTATAATTTTGAGAATAGACTATCTATTTTTTTAGTAGGCAAAATAATCTTTGCAATCTAATCGAAATGATGAATGAGTTGACATCTAATTTAAAATGATTTATTTCATTTTCAATATATCAGCTTGCACTTGAAAACTATCTAATTTATTAACGGATATTATTAATTGAAAAAAAATTGATACAATAAAAAACTAATAAAATTAAAATTATAATGATCAAATTAACACAAAAGAAAAATGACAAGCATCCCGGGTATAAATTATCCTTTGGCTTATTATCTCATGTATCACAGTAGTTTTATTGGCTTAATGAATTCCGTTACTTACATCGATTTTTAATACAGTTGTGATATGTCAAAAATTGAACAACTGTTAAACATACTAACAAAAATCTTATAACATGTTTTTTTTTTTTCTAATTTGTCAATCTGTAAGAGAGTAAAACAAATATGAGAAACAATACATCAAATTGAATAACTAAAGTCCAAACAATAGTTTGAAAGCATGCCAAATTAGGAAAGCGATAAACAATAAAAATAAACATTATATAGGCCTCAAACTTTTCTCCATAAGAATTAGAGTAAATTACTAATAAGTCCTAATAGTTGGATTTAATTTCCATCAAGTCTTATTGAAAACAAATCTTAATAAAATAGCGACGATTTTTTGGCATATGTTGCTAAAAATTGACAATTAGTGACTCTTTTTTTTGTTATGATTTTTATAAATCTTCATTAAAATTTACAATTATTGACGTTTTTCTATCACGAAATTTTCAAATTGTTGCTGAAAGCTGAAAATTAATAATTTTTTTTGTGACTTTTTTAAAATTGCAACTAAAACTTATAATTAGCGACATTTTTTTTATAATTAGTGACATTTTTTTAAACGGCAGCTAAAGCTTATAATTATTGAAAAATGTGTGTATCATATGTCTTTTTGATCGGCAAAAGAAGAAACTTCATTGATGATAAAATTTGATTACATCAATAAAGAAAGGGATAAAAGAAAATGGGTGCAAAAAGCATCACGGTGAACAGAAGGATCCTAACTAGGTTGGCACCCAAAAGCACGCCCAATCATATCCTAGCACACCAACAAATTGATGAGAAACCAACCTACACCAAAATACAACCAAAATACTACTAATACTCCAAAGAAGAGTCCCTTCAACTTGATCAAAGGCCCCAGCATCAGAAACGAAGCAACCAGAAAGAGAGCAGATTATCAACAGATTCAAAACAGATCAGCATCAGAGGTACACACCAGAAAACCAGAACAACCAAACACGACAGCTAGATCAGAGAGGCAGGGTTGTCGCAGTAGTGTACCTCAAAAACCAGAACATTCAGAAAACCAAAACCAGCATCAAAGACAAAGCAACCAAATCAGAAGCATAGTAACCAGCAGCATAGAAGCCCAATAAAGAGACAAAACCAGAACAAATAGAGGGAACCAATAGCCAAACATATCAAAGAAACAACAGAGGTATCATCCAAACAAGCTTGAACAATCACCAACCACCTCCAGCCCTTATTGGTTTTGACTCACCCATTTTATATTTGAAACAATCTCATGAATGGAGTAGAAACGCCCTAAATCATGAGACTTCAACGACATGGCCACTCTAACTTTCATTAACTCACACAATTCATCAATAGCATGAGGAGAATGGTTAAATATACAATCATTTCTGTAAATCCACAAAGGCCAAACAACAGAAATGAAAACAGCTTTCCAAACTTACTTTTCCTTTTTCCTGAACTTCCACCCCAACCACCAATGCATCAAATCTTCAAAAGATCCTGGTATCACCCACTAAATTCCCCACAGTCCATGATTTTTTTACCAAACATGCCACACAAAAGAACATGACAAAATGAGGTGATTGGAAGTTTCCACCTCAGCTTTGCACACCACACAGAGCAACATTCCAGAATCTGACAAAACTCCAATTCTGCTAAACAATGTAGAGGTTTTCAGCCTACCTCTCCATGCAAGCCAAGTAATGAATTTAGCCTTTAAAGGGGAAAAGTTATTCCAAACCAAATCTGATGAGCTATGAACAGGTCCAGAGCTATGCTTGCACAAGTTATATACAACTTTAACTTTAAATAGCCCTGACTACTGAGCCTTCCACCTGATTGAATCCTTTTGATTAAGATGTAGCCAAGGCCTTGCTCCTAACATATTGTGCAGCCTTATCACCTCATCTGCTTTCCAACCAAAAAGGGGCCTTCTAAAACTAAAAGATTTTTCGTGCCCTAGCCTACACAGAAGAACAGAAAGTGTCCTTTTCCACTTTCACTCTCAAGGAAGATGTGCAAAAATGGTGGCTTCTTATCTTAGAAAAGGAAGAGATCGTGACTTGGGCAAGATTCCTAGATATGTTCTATGAAAAGTTTTTTCCAGAATCACTACGGGAGCAGAAGGCATCTGAGTTCCTACATTTGAGGCAAGGAACAATGTCGATAGCAGATTACGAAAGTAAGTTCACCCAACTAGCACGATTTGCACCATATGTTATTCCGACAGAAGCTCGAAAAGAAAGGAAATTCGAAGCAAGATAATAAAATAAAAATTTGATAAAATAAATATTTAATTTTATAGTTATGCGTGCTAGAATGTAATCTAAAATTAGAAGCATTGTTGCTACCGAACCATAACAATGTGATTAATAAATTGTTTGGGGCCAAATGAAAACAACCATAAAATTAATACAAATAGTTGGGCAAATAAAGAATTATGGTGAAACGTAGGCAACTGGCTGGAGGGTTTTGTTACTGCCACCTGTGGAAGCTAAGGTATAGACTATTGAATTAGCACTTGATTAGGATGATTAGTCACCTCCAAGCTTTAGTATAAAAGGGAAGCGGTCGATAGCATAGGACTCAATGGAATTGGTAGGAAAAGAAGAGAGTCTTGGGAGATCAGGAAGGCTTGGAGAAAAATTAGGAGTTGATATTAAGGTTAATTATATTATACTTTGAGTAGGCGTAAATTATTTAATTATTTTATGCAAATCATGCTTTTTTTTAATTATATTAACATTCAATTATGTTATTCATTTTACGAGTCCTGCTTATTTAAAATTAAAATCCATGGATATGTTTGTTTAAATTATGAAATTTATTCTTCATAAGAGAAGTCGTTTTGAACTTCGAGGCTTTCGTGATTAATGATATGTTATGAATCTCGAAGATATCGCTAGAGTATCGACACATAAAATATATTGTGGACGTTGGACAATTCAGGTGGCATTGCAAGGCGGTATACCACAGGACCAATCCTTTCTAGTATCTCGAATGGCCCAATGTAACATGGGTTTAACTTTCCTCGCTTCCCAAATCAGATAACTCCTCTTGTTGGTGAGATCTTCAGGAACACATGATCTCCTATCTGAAATTTTGAATAAATAAATATCAGGATGATGTTAATCGTAATTTTATGATTATGTAAATATTTAATTTTATAGTTAATTTCAGTAAATATTTAATTTTATAGTTATACGTGCTAGAATGTAATATAAAATTAGAAGCATTGTTGCTACCAAACCATAACAATGTGATTAATAAATTGTTTTAGGCCAAATTAAAACAACCATAAAATTAATACAAATAGTTGGGCCAATAAAGAATTATGATGAAACGTAGGCAATTGGCTGGAGGGTTTTGTTACTACCACTTGTGGAAGCTAAGGCATAGACTATTGAATCAACAGTTGATTATGATGATTAGTCACCTCCAAGCTTTAGTATAAAAGGGAAGCAGTGGATAGCATAGGACTCAACGGAACAGGTAGGAAAATATGAGAGTCTTGGGAGATCAGGAAAGCTCGGAGAAAAAGTAGGAACTGATATTAATTAAGGTGAGTTATATTATACTTAAAGTAGACATAAATTATTTTCTGCAAATCATTTTTTTTTTAATTATATTAACATTTAATTATGTTATTCATTTTATGAGCCCTGCTTATTTAAAATTAAAACCCATAGATATCATTGTTTAAATTATGGAATTTATTTGACAACAAGTATATAACCATTTATTTTCATTAGTACCACTACGGAATTTGTGAGAACTCGAATATACAAATCAAATAAATAATTAAGTAATAATTATTTTACAATCTCAAATATTTTGCTTGTGAATATGTTAGTGCAAACTAAATATTATTGGAGAATCTTTTAATTGATTTTAAAACCTAAAATAAATTCATGGTGAAAGTCTTTAATTTAGAGACAATATTTATTATTTAAAAATAAAATAAAATAAAATAAATGGAGAAGAGGGTGGACTTGACCTCTAGACCACAATTTGATAAATAATGGTTGTATCATTTGAGTTGCTTACAACATATTTAAACATTTTGTCTATTATTATTTATTTATTTGACCTACATATGCTTTAGGTGTACCAAACCACTAGTATTAAACAAAATATACATAAAACCCTACCTTTTTATTTGTTCTTCATAGTAGCCGTAAGGGCGAGAGAGAGAGAGAGAGAGAGCGAGAGAGAGAGAGAGAGAGAAATAAACTTTTGGCAACATTGGTGGTCAACAACTCTAAGGTATTGCCCTATTTTATTATATCTATATATTGTGATGGTTCATATGTATAATCTACTTATTGTTGGGAAGGAATAGGAGAAACGGGTGTGTTGTTTGGGTGCTAAGTCTGTGATTGGTGATGAGAAATAATGGGTGTAGTTCTTAATCCAAAAAAAAAAAAACAAAAAATCTATACAGAACCATAAACTTCAAAAATCAAGAAACCATATCAAATGGATGAATTTTGAACAAACATTTTTACAGTAGATTAATTACATACTGAATTGCATATCTGAATTTTCTCATAATTTTTGGGAGTATATTAACTGCTGCGTTCAAATCTGTCCAGAAAACTAGTTTAAAATAGTAACTTCGAAAGTATTGTTTCCTCTGGGTATAAATCCGAAAATTATCAAATCAGCGTCATTAGAAACCGGTTACGAGTTTAGTTTCTTACATTTTTAGCCTTGCGTTGATTGCTCGTGTATACTAAGAGAACCGTTAATTTCTTTAAAGTATTGCAGAAAATAACCTGTTTGGGTGTAATTAATTGTAAATAATTATTTTGATAAGCAAATCAAGTAAAATCAATTGGGTTTGAAACTTAGGATATATTAGTTGATATCTGGAGGGTTTTGGAATTTTTCGAACAACATGGAGTGGGTTTTTAATTTTCAAAGTTAGCGAATAAATTGGGAAAACTTGTTTAAAACTCTGTTTTATCTGAAAGTTACTTTTAGTTAAGTTTCGATCGAAACCAATGTCTTGGGTAATTTTAGCCCTTGAAGAACATGAACTTAGGTATTATTTAAGAGTAACGGTGAGTGGGGTTGAGTTGTGTTAGTGCGCTTTAGTGTGGGGTACTTAGTTTATTATTCTCTTTAGGATTTTTAAATTAGTAGTGACCTGTAGTCTTCATACTTGGTTCAGGGCACTAGTTGGACTTTCATACTCTATTCAATGATTATATTATTATGTTTTCAGGTGAGTAGCTGCATGCTACATATTTTTATAAATGTTTACCTACCCTGAACTATTAGAAAATTAAATTATTGTTTCAGGACTAAACTGTTTTGATAATCTATTATATTATCAATGGAATTAAATTATTTCTGAAACATGTGTAAACTTAGCATGCTGTAAACTATTTGTTTTTGGTCTCATGTTTATAATGGTGAACTACCATGTTTTGCGAAACTAATGTGTATTGATTATTGGGACCATCTGTATATTTTAGTCTAGGGAAATTATTCCACTGTGTGTGATGACTCTGGCCACTAGGGAATAGATCCGGGTTGGGCCATGATGACTCTAGTGCTCAACGATTGTAAGGAAAAGAACTAGGTTAGGCTAGGTGACCTTCAATCGGATCGTCTTAGAGAAAAAGGCTTGGGTTGCCACTTTGAGGATGACTCTTAGTTCGGTATTGGATCCAACGGGGCTGATAGCCTTGAGAACTGAATGTCATGTTACTTGTTATTTCTTGGTACCCAGAAAATTATTGGTTTTCATGTTGTAATATGTTTTAAGTGGAAAATGTCATTTATCATGTTCTTGAGAGACATGAGTATTTTAATTGTTGAACTGTGGAACCTTCTTTTTGAAACAGATTCTCTTTACCAAACTGTATGCCAATCTAGTTTCTGTGATATATATGTTATTTTGGCATTGAACCTTGTTTTCAAAACTGTATTTACTATCCATGTTGCTACTCACTGAGCTATTAGCTGACTTAGTTATTTATCATTTCCAGGTGTTAGAAAGACTTAGAGTGGACTCATGGCGTAGCGGGGACTCAATTGCATAGACCTCTAAGACGTTCATTTATTTTGTTTTAGATTGTTATGTCAAGTTTGTGCATATTTATTTTTATTTTTATTGAGGTTCATTTAGGATTATTTTGATATATGGGCTGTTTATATCCCATAAGTTTGGATGGTATTGATTACGGTTGGTTTTGCCGTTTATACTTGTGGCATGTCACTGAATTGAGTTTAGTTATTTTTTACTGGACTTTTGTATAGTTGTTCAATGTGATTATGGATTAGTGCTTAGTCTTACGTGTGCCATGGGCTAAGGCCCTATGGGCCACGGCCGGTCATACCTGGTTTGGGGTGTGACACCTGGTTTGGGGTGTGACAAAATTTCCATGCATTGGGGGACTTAAATGACCATTGGCCCTTTGAATTGTCACTTTAGTGACCCTCTGACAGTCCCATGCCTTGAGGGATTTAAATTACCATTGGTCCTCTGATTAGTCACTTCGTGACCCTCTGTCTGTCATGGATCTATTGACCATCTGTTCTGTTCTGTACTGTGGTTATGGTTATTTTGCATATATGGATTTTGTATTATGTATCTATTATTAAAAATAATTTATTCGAACCAAACTATTCATCGTTTAGCTTAAATAATTATCCATGGTGATTTATATACCCTTATACTCTTAGTATAATATTCTGCACTCTGCCATGCGCGTATAGTTTTTAAAACCCCTTGCAGGTGATAAAACTTAAAGAATGATGGTTTTACCCCATTGATTAGAACCCAAATTGGACATGAATATCATGTTGTTGTTGTTGTTTTTTTTTTTATTTTTATTTTTAATGTTTACTTGTAATCATTATCTGACTAATGGTACATCGTTACATAAATAATAATTTACATGTACGCTTTAGATATTTATCTACATCTTTTATTTTATTATGCTACATTATGTAATTTAATTACTTGGAATTAATCTGAGAAATTTTAGAAATTAATTAGTTGCGAATCCAGCCTTGGTCACCAGGATGGGTCGTGACAAAATGGGTATTAAAGCAATGGCTAAAAAAAAAAAAAAAACAACCATGAAGTTGGAAGATATGCGTACCATTAGAAAACAAGATAAGAAAAATCTTACCTTAGTCCTTATGGTTAGTCTTTTATTAGTTCTATAGCTGAGTTCGGCATCCTATAGTGTAGGCAATGCTAGAACTTAACTGTGGCAACTCTTTTTGGTATAGGCCTGATCCCCCAGACTTTGAAAGAATTTTTGGAAATAATAGTTCCGTTCCAGAATTACCAGAGGAAATAGGATATTCGGAGGAAATAGTTAGACAGGCGAACTCGACCCTCAACCGACTTATGGGCCTACCAGTATACTTAAGGGTTATCCCCACAGAAGTAGATACACAGTGGTGGAGGATTGACGTTATGAGTACCCTAAATAGGTTTTTGGGGCCTACACAGGTAGGAGGCATGGCCCTGAGTCAGGGATATCCTCACTACTTAGTGGCACATTTACCTTTAGAGTTTATGGCTCGGTGAAGGAATGTCGTCTTATGTGACCTTATTCAAGTAAGAGTCTCTCCCCCTTAAAACCTGATTGATACTCAGACGGTTGATTTTGGTGATATTATGACCTATGTGAAGGTGCCTATGCATATCACGGGACGACAGCTATGGGTTATGTGGCAAGCATTCCCATTTATCGAGTGGAGGTGGTGTGGCGATGCTTTGGTATCGAGCTAAGCGGGTGAGAGTTTGAACATCATATGCAACTGTAGTACCCATGGTTATTTTCAGTCTAAAATGCCGAGAACAAGATCCTTTCTTTTGTTGTTTTTTTTGTGTTTTTTTTTTTCTTCTTCTTTGTTTTCATTTGTTGTGCAAGTGAGCTAACCATAACCTAGTTCTAACCTGTTTTGTCATGGAGGGTTAGGCACCAAGTTGACATAACTACAAGTAATGTACCAACACCATTATACATAAATAAATCCAGCATTTTGTGAATAATATATATATATTGTCTTGTGAACTATGTTTTATAAAACCGGTGTTTTCTGAATATAATATATATTGTCTTGGAACTATGTTTTGTAGATTATGTGAATGTGTTTTAAATTAGGTAATTAATAGGAAATCATGCACCATGTTTATTAAAACTGTTAATTTATGGCTATGGCTAACGATGGAAATGGTACCGGATCATCATTCAATGAAGTCGATCCTATGGAAAAGATTGTGAAAAGAGCTGTTACTAGTTTCTTGCAAGCCTTGCAGAATAATGGGTTAGCATAACATTGTGAAGGGACAACTACGATTAAAAAGTTCCAAGACTTGAAACCTTCCACGTTCAAAGGAGACTCAAAGTCATTGCTAGTTGAAGCTTGTGTTAAAGAAATGGAAAATATTTTTCATGCCCTACCCTGCACAGAAGAACAGAAAATGTCCTTCGCCACTTTCACTCTCAAGGAAGATACGCAGGAATGGTGGCTTCTCACCTTAGAAAAGGAAGAGATCGTGACTTGGGCGAGATTCCTAGATGTGTTCTATGAAAAGTATTTTTCAAAATCACTACGAGAGCAGAAGGCATCAGAGTTCCTACATTTGAGGCAAGGAACAATGTCAGTACCGGCATATGAAAGTAAGTTCACTCGACTAGCACGATTTGCACCGTATGTTATTCCAACAAAAGCTCTAAAAGCAAGAAAATTCGTAGCAAGATTGGATGCTGAAATCAAAGATAGGCTTGAGGTTTTGAAACTACCAACCTATGCAGAGGTGGTGGATGGAGCATACATCGCCGATAAATGAATTAAACCGCACGTTCAAGTGGAATGGGTAAAAAAAAGAAACGGTTTTGGGAACCAATCGGAGGATCTAGGGAAGCCCCACCAAAGAAAGTAAATACCGGACCTACTAGCTCAATTGGTTTGACCAACCAAAGTTTTACTATCTCCAGGAGTAGCACCATTCTGAATTGTCCGAGTTGCAGAAAGGCTCATAGAGGACAGTGCTATCGGGCAATAGGAGCATGTTACAGATATGGCCAAGTTGGCCATTTGGTGAAAGATTGCCCAAAATTCACCAACTCTGTGACAGGTATCTTTGAACTAGTTCAGAAACCAGGAACCACCACAGGAGGGAAGAAGGATCAGAGGCGCCAAGGGAGAGCTTTTGCTTTAGTACCCGAAAATTCTGGTACTATGGAGAACGTTGTGACAGGTACACTTTTTGTTTGTGGTCACTTAGCTCATGTTCTCTTTGACTCTGGTTCCACTCATTCTTTTGTTGCACCACATCTTGCTTCCAAGTTAACATCAACACTGAAAAACCTCAGTAATTCATGATTTGATCAAGATTAATTGTAACCAATCCCAAACAGTTAAAACTAACAATCTAAATCATCTAGCACATACGAAAGTGATTTAGATTGTTGCTTCAAAATCAATAAATCGATACAAACGATTTTTACATGAAAATAATCACAATTGGAGCACCTCCAATTGTGATTAAAAAACCACGAACAAAACGCCATAAATCAATCCGCTATGAAAGAAAGAAAAAATACAAATATACCAAACAAATTACCAAACTTTTTCAATTTGTCTTCAAGAATCTGTATCTCTTTCACCGTAACCATTGTCTCGGAATTGATCCGTTTGATGTTGAATCCACAACATCCATGTCGAATCAATGACTGCGCACAACTTCAAATTCCTTTGAATACTCTATGCTTGAATCTCCGGATTCCACTGAAGAACACTCTTGTAGTTGAACAATCAAACAACTCTTTGATGTGTGTTTATCAAACCATGAGTTTAATACTCAATTAAACATTAAAAAAAACTAGAAACTAGCAAACTAGCCCCAGAAGAAAACCCTAGAACCCTTAAAGAAGATCTAGAAGCCGTAGACCTAAAAACAGACTTAAACACATATTTATAGAAAACATGGCCGTGATCTCTGCTCAATCGCAAGACTTGCCGCTCGAGCGGTGTCACTAAAATGCGTGTTCCAAACCAGGGTCTATGCTTGAGCGCAGGAACTTAAGCTCGAGCGTAAAATCACACTTCACAGTATTTTTATAGACAAGCCAAAGTACTACAAAGGTGGAAACTCCGCTCGAGCGCAGCTTTCCCCTCTCGAGTGGGAAGACCAAAAACAGAGGAAAATTACAACTCAATGAAACCCAAGTTTGTTCACGGAATTGACAATAAGTAAGGTCCTAACAATTTCCCCCTTTGTTAATTCCCGGACAAAACTTTTGTCAACAATTTTCCCTAACAAATACACGCACTAAACACACTAACTAACACAAACAAACGCCCCGGCTTAATAAAAACCAAAAATAGTAAAACCACTACAAAACCACAAGAGCCGAATTCGAATAAGAAACACTTAGGAACATTTTGAACAATCCACTTGTGAAAAATAACATGCAAACCAAAACTGCGAAACAATATATGATGAACATATAGAGATAAGCAAAATAGCCAAAAATGTATATCCAAATCTATCTAGTCCAAAATTCATGCCCAAAAATACTGTGTTAACAAAACAAATGTCTAGGTGTGCAAAACCAACTACTAACTAACCAACGACTACTAACTATTACTCCCCTTTTTTGTTCGGGAGACAAAGTAGAAAAAAACATAAGAAAAACAAGAAAAGAAACTGTATGAAGAGAAAAAATACACTGTGCAAAACACTGGAAGATAGAACCAAGTACCACTAATTTGGCGGCAGTGGAGGTTGCGGTAGCTGAAGTAGGGACAAAATATGATCGAGAGACTGCTCAACCTGGCCAGTAGATGCCTCCAATGTAGTGAGACGGGCGTTGGTGGAGATCTGAAGATCGGTAAGCCAAGCATCGAAAATATCCATCCGGTTCTCTAGACGATCAAAACGGGAGACCATGGCATGCTCAAACTGACGCAGCTAGCCTCGGATAGAACGAACCGGAGGAACTTGCTCCCCCTCACCGGTAGTAGCATCATCATACTTTGCCTCCTCAGCCAGAAGATCATCACCGGTACCTGTACCAAAACCACCTGTCCCAGAAGGACCCCCATTGACATGAGACTGACTCTGGGAGACGGTTTCTTTGGTGAACGGTCAGGTAGGAAAAGCAAACTCATTTTCTTCAAATGTGGGAACCTCAAGTTTGGTGAGAAGACGGTTGATGAGACAACCGTAAGGCAACCCTAAAGACTTTCGTTCAAAGGCGACAACCATTTTTTGAATTATTAAGGTGGCAAGGTCGATGGAGAGGTGGTGATTGATGCAAAAGAGTACAAAGCCCTGTTCTTGATTGATTTCAGAACTATGAGTGGTGACTATAATATTGGCACAGACAATGAGGTTGAGCAAACGGAACCAGGGAAGGAGCTCATGTTGTTTTATGAAAGCCCCTGGATCCAAGAACAGGGTGTACCACACAATGTAGTGGCCACCTCGTTGAAATCACAAGTGGGTTGAACAGGGAACGGATAGTGACATGAAAAGACTTGGGCAATGCTGAGGAGCTCATGGATAAGATCGAGGGTAATGGTGATGGACTTAGACCTAACCCAGGTCTGGAAAGAAGATCCAATATTATCAATGCCCTCAATGTTACAATAAAACTCCCGGATCCAGTCGAGGTTTTGACGGCTGGAGAAAGAGAGAACTGAGTCACTCCCCCAAAGGATCAAACAAAGGTCGAATAAGGATGGACTCAAAGGTGTTGGGTTAGACATTGCGTTCTAAATGAATGGTCTTAGAGGTGTAAAATTCTCAAAAATGCTTGGCTTTCTCAGCAGAAGGGAAACAGTCAGTGTTAAACATGGGGCGGTTGGCCGTAGACTTACGGCGTTTGGAAGTGGACATGGTTAAACCAAAGGACAAACCCAATCACAACCACAACCCCCCCAAACCCAACAATAACCAAACCATTAGTCACAAAAAAACAATATTAGGAACCAGAAAACATCAGTGACTAAAACCAAATAGCAAATATCCAGTATATAATAATCCATGAGAGGCAAAAATTAGGAGAAACAAATGCAATATTAGAACCAATAATTAACACAATATTAGAACAAATGCAAATAATAATAAAAAAACAGAACAAAACCATTGAGAAACTCAAATCCCACATGAACAAAAAAACAAAACCCTAATATAATATTAGCCATTAAGAAAAAAAAACAACTATATAGCAGACTCAACCCACATAGGAAGCAAAAACCAAAAAAAAAAAAAAAAAAAAAAAAAAACAGACACCAAGCATAAAAAACACTAATACAGTCGGAAAAAGACCCATACGAACAAAAACCAATGTGACGACAGAAAATGACCCCAAAGCATGCTCAACCCCACTTGGTGGAAGTGTGTGAATAAGTGGAAACAAAAAACTAAGACATAGCCAAGAGAAGGTGACAAAAAAAAAAAAAAAAAAAAAAAATCAAAACAAAAAAGAGAGAAAGCATACCTGAAGCACGTGAAACAAAACACTAAGATGAGCACACCAAGCTAAAACTCAAAGAGGGATGAAAACAGAGTCGCCAAAGGAACCCTAGAAGAGAGAGAGAGAGAGAGAGAGAGAGAGAGAGAGAGAGAGACAGATACAGAGATGAAATTTTGGGGAAAATGAAGTGAACAGTCGAGGGTTGGGTTTTTAAAGCAAACCAATCCACTCGAGCGAGGGACTAGTGACTCACCCTTGAAGAACAAGGACAAAGAAGCAACTCCAGCAACTTTTTTGACCAAAAGCAATCCAAAAACACCAAGACCAGCTTCAAGGTGCCTCAGCTCCAAACCGAAGGTGTTTCACTAGGTGTTTGTGTGCAAAAGTGTGAAGAAATGGCACTTTCAAGCACAAATATAGAGAGAAAGAGAAGTATAGAGATAGAGGGATATATCTATAGGTCTCAGCAAATTTCTCCACCTGAGACAAGAGGGAGGAGGCTTCCTCTTATAGAAAACCAAGCTCTAAGCTTGTTTGACAAGCTAGAGGCTCCAAGCAATCCCTCCATACACGTGTATGGAGGATGCTTTCTGTGCCCAACAGCTGGTACAGCTGCTAAGAAAATATCTGTCGAAAAATTCAGAAAAGGTGCCGACTAGTTGAGGTGGTCGGCCGACCACTCCCACTAATCGACTGACCATAAAAAGTGGTCTGCAGGGAGAACAACTGGTCGGCAGGGGGGGAGAGGGTCTGCACAAAGTAAGGAAGGTGGTGGCATGGCTGCCGACCACTTTAGGTGGTCCACAGACCACCCACCTTAGCAGGCCGACCAAAAAACTGGCAGGCAGGCACAAAAAGTGGTCTACAGGGGGAGAAACTGGTCTACACCCCTGTTCCACTCTCCAAGCAAGAGAAAACAAGGTTTGGTTAAAAAACAAACCAAAAAGGGTGCAAGACAAGAGTCCGCGAGGTGAGGCACGCAGCCGAAAGCCTCGAAAACTAGTCTACAGCTACAAAAAGTAGCCTACGAGAGGGAAAGGTGGTCTATGACTACAAAAGGTGGTCTACAGATTTGTTTCCCTCTAGGCAAAGGCAACAAGGCATGGTCCAAAAACCAAGCCAAGAGGAGAACTTTAAGAGGTTCCGAGACAAGGCGCATGGCCGAAGGCTCCGGAAACCGGAAACTAGCTTACAAGAGGGAAAAGTAGTCTACGACTATGAAAAATGGCCTACAGGCCTCTTTCTCCCTCCAGGCAAGGTCAACAAGGCATGGTCCAGAAACTAAGCCAAAACACAAAGCGTTCAGAGGCCCGGAGGCAAGGCACTCTACCAAAAACTCCGAAAACTTGAAACGAGCACAAAC